TCTTTGCTTTATGTGAATCCAATAAAGAAATCAAAAGAATTTTAATTTGGAGTTGATGTTCTCTTTACAATACATTTATAATACTCCCTTAAATACAGACATTTTGTCACATTTAGAAAATGACTTTCATTGGGTTTAGAAAAGGAAATACATATATATGCTTCTGTATGGTATTGGAAAATTTCTTGAAGAATAACATCAGAAAGTATTAACAGTTTTGCTTTTGAAGAGAAGGGGATTTGTTTTCATTTGTGTGTGGCTTGACTGCACATGTATTTATTTGAGAAAAATAAAAAGTAAAAAAGTTGATTTGCTTTCCTCAGTTCTTTTCAGGACCACATTTAAAGTTCAAAGGCAGGTGTGGATATATAGGTAAGCAGATTATTAAATGATCAGCCACAAAAACAGCCTCACCCAAAAAGACTATTTTTTTTATCTTTTGAGACAGGATCTGGCTCTGTCACCCAGGCTGGAATGCAGTGGCAGGATCTCAGCTCACTGCAACCTCTGCCTCCCAGGCTCAAGCAGTCCTCCCACCTTATCCTCCAGAGTCACTGGAACTACAGGCCCATGACACTGTGCCTGGCTAATTTTTTAATTTTTGGTAGAGATGGGGTTTCACCATGTTGCCCAGGCTCATCTCAAACTCCCGGGCTCAAACGATCCAGCCACCTTAGCCTCCCAAAGTGCTGGGATTATAGGCGTGAGCCACCATGCCAGACCCAGAAAGATGTTATTTACAACAAAGATCTAATGTCTGTTTCAGGATCTCTGTTTCTCTCTACCAAACCCTCTGCTGTCTTTCCAGAGATTTGTTCCACCCCACCATAGAGATAAACTACTGCTATCTCTTAACTGTTTTCCCCTTCCCCTGCCCCGTGTGTTCTGCACTGAAAGCATGCTTGGGAATACTTGAAGCTTCTTGATATTGGTAGCTAAGCCAGGCCAATTCTGGCTGGAACCTGGGGTGATGTTCCCTGGCCATATCCTTTCAACAGATCCAATATCACTGGACCCAGCAGATCATTATTCCTGTCAATTGGAGCAGTCAGTGGGTGGTTGACAAGATCTAGATTTATTCTATTGCAGCCTAACAGGTAGATGCTGCATGGATTGTGAATCCACCCCAGAGGAAAACATCCCAGTTTTCTATATTATTAATAGAGTATTTCTGTTTCCCTTCAGGGGGTGAAATATTAACATCCATGCAGAAGGGAAAGAAAGGTGTTGGGTCCACTAATCCCCATGAATTAGAATGACGCCTGGGTCAATTCATTCGCTCTTCTGTAGGGACAGCGTAAACCAGTAGCTTACTGTGCCCAAGTGATGAGCGGGCAGTTTTAGTCTGATGTTATTTTCAGTTTTAAATTAGAGAAATGTAGCTTTTCAACTATCAGAGCCCTTGGCTGCTATGTCAATGTGGACCGCTAGAATTCGTGTGGGCCCAGCAGGAGACAGGATTAGCAAATTGAGTAGCTATTGCCTAAGTACTTTAGAGTCTCTCACTGCCCAGATTGTAAACATCATGGTATCCCCTCTAACCCAGTCAGGGGGTTGTCCTGATTTCTGGGAAATCATGCTTTTCTCAAATTTATCCCATTCTTTCTTAGGTTTCTCACTAATCCCCTTCCATTTTGGAAACATTAGTGAGTAGCATCACCATCCATTTGTATATTTTATTTTTAGAGTATTTTCACATACCTGCTTTCTTCATTGTTGTTAACTTCCCATATGACACCGACATATCACACAGTTGCTTTCATTTGAGCCTCCCCACATCCCTGTGGGTGAAGATTGGCAGGCATTAGCTCCATTTGTCAGATTGTCTGGGGCTTAGAAGGCCTGAATGGCTTGGCCAAGATGACAAGGCCATAAAAACCGGGAATTTGAACTTGGTGGTCCCACTCTCGGTTCGTTTGCTTTCCTCTTCATGCTCATCTCTGAACCCCAAGGAATGGCAGGAGAACCTCTCTCAGAAGGACACCTAAGAAGGGTTTAGGGGTCTCTGTCAGTAACAAAAGCTGACCTTGGACAAGATTTCAGTCTGTTGGCCTGTTGGCTTCCTCTGCCTCATGGCATTTGTGGGGTCCTTTCCCATCCATACAATGGAGTCAAAGGCCACTACACAAAATGTGGCTCCTCTTGTAGGATATGATTGGAAAACATCTGGAGGATATGGTAAATGAAAAAATCAAGATGCAGAACAGTGTACATGGTACACTTGAGAAAAATGCAGGAAAGGGAATGGAAGGCAGATTTAAATGTGCTTTTTATTTGCATAAAGGAACACTGGACAATTATGTTAGAAACCAATGAAAGCAGCTGGGGATAGAGAAGAGACTGGATGTGAGTGAAATTTCTCGCTTTACACCTCACGTTATTTCCATTTTTTAGAAACTTTTTTTTTTTTTTTTTGATACAGAGTCTCACTCTGTCTCCCAAGCTGGAGTGCAGTGGCATGATCTTGGCTTACTGCAACCTCCACCTCTGGGGTTCAAGCATTTCTCTTGCCTCAGTCTCCCAAGTAGCTGGAACTATCCACCACACCTTGCTAATTTTTCATTTTTAGCAGAGATGGCATTTCATCATGTTGGCCAGGCTGGTCTCAAACTCCTGACCTCAGGTGATCTGCCCGCCTCGGCCTCCCAAAGTGCTGGGATTACAGACATGAGGCCTGTGGCATGTCTCTGGCATGAGCCACTGCCTGTAATCCCAGCACTTTGGAACACTGGACAACTATTTTAGAGACCAATGAAAGTTGGGGATGGAGAAGAGACTGGATGTGAGTGAAATTCCTTAGTTTATACCTTATGTCATTTCAATTTTTTAGAAACTTTTAATTTGGAAATATAGATTTGCAAGAAGTCACAAAAACAGTGCAGAGCCGGGCGCGGTGGCTCACACCTGTAATCCCAGCACTTTGGGAGGCTGAGGCAGGTGGATCAGGAGGTCAAGAGACCGAGACCATCCTGGTCAACATGGTGAAACCCCGTCTCTACTAAAAATACAAAAAAATTAGCTGGGCATGGTGGCACGTGCCTGTAATCCCAACTACTCAGGAGGCTGAGGCAGGAGAATTGCCTGAACCCAGGAAGCGGAGGTTGCGGTGAGCTGAGATCGCGCCATTGCACTCCAGCCCAGGTAACAAGAGCAAAACTCCGTCTCAAATAAATAAATAAATAAATAAATAAAGTGCAGAGTACTCCTGTGTACCCTTAACCCACTTTTCTCCAGTGATAATCTCTTGCATAACTAGTCCAATATCAAGACCAGAAAAGTAGCAATCTACAGAGCTCATTTAGATTTCCCCCTTTTACCTGCACACATTTGTGTATGTTTGCAGTTCTAGGCAGTTTTATCTCATATGCAGATTTGTGTGAGCGGCACCGTGATGAAATCCAGAACTGTTCCCTCATCCTGGACATCCCTGTACTAACTCTTCATAGTCACGCCCATCCTCTTCCTCCTTCCCCGATCCCTACTCATTCCTATCCCCTACTGATCACCAATCTGGGCTTCTCTATAATTTTGTCCTTTTGAGACTGTTACATACATGAAATCACCAGTATGTAACTTTTTCAGACTGGTTCTCTCTTTTTTTTTGGAGATGGAGTTTCGCTCTTGTCGCCCAGGCTGGAGTGCAATGGCATGATCTCAGCTCATTGCAACCTCCGCCTCCTGGGTTCAAGCGATTCTCATGCCTCAGCCTCTTGAGTAGCTGGGATTACAGGCACCTGCCACCACACCCAGCTAATTTTTGTATTTTTAGTAGAGATGGGGTTTCACCATGTTGGCCAGGCTGGTCATGAACTACTGACCTCAGGTGATCTGTCTGCCTTGGCCTCCCAAAGTTATGGGATTACAGACATGAGCCACCGTGCCCAGCCGAGACTGGTTCTTTTGTACACATCATAATTCCCTTGAGATCCATTCAAGTTGTTGCATCTATCAAGAGTTTTGTTTTTTATTTATTTTTTGAGACAGAGTCTCATTTTTGTCACCCAGACTGGCATGCAGTGGCACTATCTCGGCTCACTGCAACCTTTGCCTCCTGGGTTCAAGCAATTCTGCCTCATCCTCTGGAATAACTGGAGCTACAGGCACATGCTGCCACACCCAGCTAATTTTTGTATTTTTAGTAGAGATGGGGTTTCACCATGTTGGCCAGGCTGGTCTCTAACTCCTGACCTCATGTGATCTGCCCCCGTTGGCCTCTCAAAGTGCTGGGATTACAGGCATGAGCCACAACACCCAGCCTAAGAAGTTCATTCCTTTTTATCACTGAGTAGGGTAGTCCATGGTATGGGTGTACCAGTGTGTGTAACCAGTCACCAACTGAAGGACGCTGGGGTTGTTTCCAAGATTTGGCTATTATAAATAAAGCTACAATGAATATGTCCATGTTTTTGTGTGGACATAAGTTTTCATTTCTTTCAGATAAATCAGGGTCACATGGTAAGTTCATGATTCGTTTTTTAAGAAACTGCCCCCAATTTTTTCAGAGTGGTGCTTTGATTTTTCAAACATAGATTGAACCCAAAACAAAAACTAAAAGCAAATTAAGATTATTGACATTGAGGCTGGGTGCGATGGCTTATGCCTATAATCCCAGCATATTGGGAGGCTAAGGCAGGCTGGAGGTCAGGATCACTTGAGGTCAGGAGTTTGAGACCATCTTGGCCAACATGGTGAAACCTCATCTCTACTAAAAATACATAAAGTAGCCAGGGGTGGTGGCATGTGCCTGTAGTTCCAGCTACTCAGGAGGCTGAGGCAGAAGAATCTCTTGAAGCCAAGAGGCAGAGGTTGCAGCGAGCCAAGATCGCACCACTGTACTCCAGCCTGAGCAACAGAGTGACACTCTATCTCAAAAAATAAAAAAAAAATTAAAAAAAAATAAAGGTGATATTGAATCGACCACATCCTTAAAATGAAGTATGTCTCTGGCTTGGCCTCAGTAGATGGTATCAGTGTTAAAGCCCAAATCTCTCTTCTCCTAGGTGTGGTGCAGATAGTGGAGGTGGTCTTGAATGGGATGGTTCTCATATGCATCGTGGCCTCCTACTTTGTCCTTGCCGGATTCAGTGCCAGCATTTCCAGCGGTGGTGGCTTTGGAAACAACTACTACTCACCGTTCGAGGGCACTGAGCTGGAACAAGTTCGGCAGCTGGACCAGAAGTACACGGTCCTCCGGGCACCCCTGATATATGGTGGCGTGGCTGTTTCTCTGGGGCTGGGGGTCCTCACCATGGGTGTTTTACTCCAAGGGGCTAAAAGTCTGACAGTGTTGCCAGGGAGGTGGCTCCTCACGGAGGCCGCCTTCAGCCTCCTAGCGGCAGTGGGCTACTGTTTAGGCATTGGTGTTTACCTCCACATAGCTCTGCAGATCAATAGCACTGACACTTGCAAAACAAGAGAGAGGCTGTATGCCCGCAGGGGTCTCACCTGGATGAACTGCCAGCTGGCAGGCACCGACGGAGCAGCAGCCACCTTTGCTTGCCTTCTGGTGATCATGTACGGCGCCAGCGTGGTGCTGGCCCTGCGGAGCTACCGAGAACAGAAGCACTACAAAGGCAGCCAAGAACAGCCCAGAAGTTACCGTAATGCACCAGAATATCTGTGGTCTGGAACACTCTGAGATCTTCCAGAACCTAAATGTGAACCCACCATGGTTGCTCCATTGTTTCTCTCAAAAAGACATGTCTTTTAAAACCGCACATTAGACAACTATGGTTTTCACACACTTGACTTTATACATGCTCCCTTTGGACCTAGGCAAAGTTAAATAATTGAGGCCAGGCATGGTGGCTAGTCTGTAATTCCAGCACTTTGGGAGGCGAAGGTGGGCAGATCACCTGAGGTCAGGAGTTTGAGACCAGGTTGGCCAACATGGTGAAATCCTGTCTCTACTAAAAATACAAACATTAGCTGGGCATGGTGGTGGGCACCTGTAATCCCAGCTACTCTGGAGACTGAGGCAGGAGAATCAATTGAACCCGGGAGGCAGAGGTTGCAGCTAGCCGAGACCGTGCTATTGGACTCCAGCCTGAGAAGAATGAAACTCCATCTCAAAAAAAAAAAAAAAAAAAAAAAAAATCCAAAAAATCAGCTGGGCTTGGTGGTGAAGACCTGTAATCCCAACTACTCAGGAGGCTAAGCCACAAGAATCACTTGAACCCAAGAGGCAGAGGTTGCAGTGAGCAACGTCCACTCCACATCATTGCACTCCAGCCTGAGCAACAGACCGAGGCACTGTCTCAAAAACAACAACAAAAAGATAGGACGGTCAATTTTCTTAGACTATGAAGGCTTTTTCATTTCTGCATTCCCTGACAGTACTCCGTAGAGTAGGCCTTCAAAGGTAGACAGTAACCTTATTACCTTGAACTGTTCCCATAATGTAACAGATCACTAACACTGAATCTTAAAAATAAAGTTCTTTCAGTAATTTTAATCTTACATATTTTATACCTATTTACCGAGACCAGCTTGGCCGTACAGACCCCTACCCAGGCGGCGCTGAAGGCATTAAGAAGCAGATACCCAGATAGGACAGCAAAGTGGGACTACCTGGCGGTCAGCAGGCTTCCAAGTTGAGAGCCTCGGGGGCTGACAGCATCCTGGGCTGAGGCATTCTCTCTGAACAGATGATTATTATGAACAAACAGGTGTTCTGTGTTTTCTCATAGAACCAAGATAAACTAGATAGTCAGCTGGTGCCGGCTTACCACTGATCAAGGACAAACCAGAAAGTATTCTCCACGAGGGAGCCATGGGGGCAGGGTCATGTATCCCGTGCTTAAAGAATTGTTTTAACCGGTGGATAATATACATATACTGCTTTGCTACTTTAGAATGCCCCAAGCAGTTTTCCACTTGGGGCAGGGGTGGCTAGGTTTTCCTTGCCATCATTCTTCCCAGCAAACAATATAATTTTATACACTCGGCATTTCTCAACACCATTCTTATACGTTACAGCTAGTCTCAAATGTATCATTTCAAATCAGATGCAACTGGAAATAAACATTCTTCTTATGGTCTTTTTTCTAATTGTCCTCTTGCTTTTTAATCCCTAATTCTTACGAAACTTGTCCAGGACAAAGGATCAAAACAAAGCCTCCTACCTAAGTGGAAAAGATCTAGATTATACTTTTACAAAAATAAAGCTTGGAAAATAAAACTGGAAATCTACATTGCTAGGTTAAAAGTTGTGGTGCTACAGAAAAATGCCTCCACTCCATCACACTTAGCCCAAGGAAGTGGCTAGAGTCTCACACAATTTTCACTGAGTGGTAGATGAGAAGTATAACCGCAGCCAGAATCAAGTGACACACTCTCCACCTACCCTCCAGAGAAATACCACCAAGCTCAGCCACTATTCTCACCTAGCATGTATTCCCTGAAATAGGTCCCTATTAGATCCTTGCCCATGTCTGGGTCCTGTGGTTCAGAAAATGGAAACTTTGGTCTGACCCCAACCTTGTGACCAGGCCCAGCTCCAATACTGCTCCCAAGAGGCAGCTCCTCTCAATTGAAGGGAGCCATTACTGTAACAATACTCCCACATCTTAAAAACGTTCGCGATGCTTTAGCATACCTTCTCTTACTACCACTTCAGTCAGATACGCCAAGGTGTCCTGTTCATACTTTACAAATGAGCCGACAAGGTTCAAGGTTAGGTGGTTTACGAGTTAACGCTGTGTGCCAGGTATGTACAGTACGGATAAAGCAGCCCTTTGCATCATCTCATTTATCCCATGACTGATGACCGATGTTAGTATTAACATTTAGTAAGTGTCCGCCTTAGAGAGGTTAACTTGCCTGAAGTCAAAAAAACTTTTAACTAGCAGAGGCAAAACTCAGCCCCACTGAATCACACACTGGAAGGTGTTCTGAGTGACTAACATACTCTTGTTGGCTTTGGTGTACCAGGGAATTCATATCACATGGCATTGATTCATTTCTGCCATGTTGGCCCAGAGGTGTGTCTAGTGGAACTGAGGTATTAAAGCACATTAAAGGTGTTCAATAAATGGTTGTTCAACCAAGTGTTTAAAATGGTCCTTCTGGTCAGGCATGGTGGCTCACGCCTGTAATACCAGCACTTTGGGAGGCCGAGGCGGATCACCTGAGGTCAGGAATTCAAGACCAGCCTGGCCAACATGGTGAAACCCTGTCTCTACTAAAAATGCAAAAAACATTTACCAGTATGGGGGCACATGCCTATAATCCCACCTACTTGGGAGGCTGAGGCAGGAGAATCACGAACCCAGGAGGCAGAGGCTGCAGTGAGCTGAGATTAGCGCCATTGCACTCCAGCCTGGGTAACAGGGCAAGATTCAAACTCAAATAAATAAAATGTTCCTTCAGCTAGATGAAGAGGAAACCTATGAAATTACTTATCTTTACCTTTATTTAAAATGAGAGGTAGCAGGCAGCCTGCAGTGGCTCATGCCTGTAATCCTAGCACTTTGGGAAGCCAAGGCAGGTGGATTCCTTGAGCCCAAAGGTTCAAGACCAGCCTGGGCAACATGGCAAAACCATGTCTCTACAAAAAACACGAAAATTAAGATGTGATGGTGCTCACCCGTACCCCTGGCTACTCAGGAGGCTAAGGTGGGAAGATAACATTAGCATGGGAGGTAGAGATTCCAATGAGCCAAGATCATACCACTGCATTCCAGCCTGGGCAACAGAGCAAGACCCTGTTTCGATCAGTTAAGAGGTAGCTAATCTTGCCTAAAAGTCCAGCGACTGTGGGAGACATCCACGAGAGTGGGAGTAGGGGAGCAAAAATTTAGAGGCTTAACTGGATTCTAAGTATCTCATGAGCTAAGACTCTGAAGTTCCTTCTTACACTAAAGCCGTGCTGAAAAACATGATGACCGGCTTTTCCACGGCTCCTCTGTGTCATCAGCTGTCATTTAGACAGAGGAGCTGTGGACTGTTTACAATTGAGTTTCTGCTAGTCAGATAATAACCTGCATGTCAATAAGGATGGAGTTTCCTGATTTTTTTCTTTTCCAGTTTTCTGATTTAAGCATATAAACCAAGGCAAAATATGGTTTCTTTTTTAATACAGTATTTCTTAAAGTAAAAGTCTGTATTGCCATTTCAGCTGAAAAGCTGATCAAAAACATTTATTCTTGCCTTAACTTACCTTTACAGTGTCCTGGAATGTGGTTTCATGTGTTTGTTCTCACTTACCTTCCCCAGGAAAAGCAGAAAAATCCTGCAGGTGCTTTTGGTTAAGAACCCAATTCTACATACAAGTTAGGAGAGAAAATTATAGCTTCATGCTAAAATACTTACGAAAAACAAGCACTCCATTTCAAAACAAAGCCATGAAAAAGAGATTCCACTTTATTTTATTTATTATTGTTATCATTATTTTTACAAACAATAGATTTGCTGCAACATGCTCTGGCTCATATTATTGAATTAAAAAATTTAACACATTTCAAAAATATCAAAAATACACTATAATGAGTCTTAGGACTACAATACAACGATTGCACAAAACCGTAAGATATGAGCCCACTGTCTGGATGACACCCATTGGCAACAGTGAGAGAAAACTCTATAGCATCTGGGAGAAGTGCATGAAATTTAGAATACAAGGAGCTTACGTGTGACTGACCGATCACCAAATGAGGAAAACAGAGCAAGACTGACTGTAGCTGCTTTTCTCAATCTAGGAAGTGCTTACCCAACTACAGGGCAAAAGTCACTAACTAGAGAGAAAGATTAACTTGCCTTCATAATTGGGGAGTCTGAAAGGCTCCACCCAGAAGGCAGTAAAAAGTGACACAAGACAGTTCTACAGTGATGCTGAAGACATCACTGAATGGCTTGGAGACTATTTAATAATTGGTACGTTTATTGATAACAGCCAGCTGCTCCCTTATGGAGGTCTCTTCATTAATAATTATTGGATAGAGAAGGTGAGCCTGTGGCTTCCAAGTACTGGCTTTGCTGAAAGTCTACATGTGAAGAGCATCATTTGATATTCAGCAGTTTCGCCACACCCAACTGGCTCCATTTACTGGAAAACAGCACTCACTACAAGCAACTGTAATAGCACCCAGCGATGACCATGCTGCTCCTGCTAGCTCTTCCATACACCAGTAAATGAACTCACCAATGTATTGCACACATAGGCTCCACAGTAGTGCAATAAAGCCCTTACTTGTATCAGGAGTGGTAATTCAATGACTTGACTCTATAGTGCACTGCAGCTTTGTCATACCAACATTCAAATTTTTAAATATACTTTCAATCCATTTGGATAAAAACAACCCCATGGCTGCCAAGAGACATATTTTTCTTTCTTCCATGGACTCCTAAACTGCTCCCATAAGAAGCAGTATTCTTCTCTCAGAAATTCTCTTAAGCTTCTCTATTCAATGGGAGGTACACACAGAGACCTGAGAATATGCAGAGGCCAGAATCTCTGTGCTAGAGATCAACTGTACTCCGCCCACCTGGGGAACCCATCCTCTGAGTAAAGTACTTGGAAGTAGATTACATTCACCTGGAGACAGATACTGGCTTTCACTAACAGTCTGTTCAGAAAACACAATGTCTGTAAATTACCTTATAGGTTAAAGAGATTTTTATTATATTTTTCATGATGGGCTATGGCCTTTTTACCCTCTGTTTTAATACAGAGCAACTGCAGAAGGACATGGATTAAAGGAGACTGCAAAAAAGAATAATCAGTTTTAGTATCACCTATAATAAAGATTTTCAATACAACCTAATGGTTCCTGAAAATAATTCTACCACATAGAAGAACACTTGGAATTACAGAGTTCTGCTGACTAAAAAGTAAATACATTTACTTTTGGAAAGGTCATTTCAGAACTGGATTTTGAGGTGGTTCCAATAAGTAGAGTGGGAAGCAAATAGCAGACATGAAAGGGGTTCACA